ATGAGGTAGTCTGTCAGGTCCCGGCCAGCCAGGTCCAGACGCAGGATGGCGTGAGGGAGGGCATAGCCCTCATAGATGGGCACTGTGTGGGTGACCCCATCACCAGAGTCCATGACAATACCAGTGGTGCGCCCAGAGGCATACAGGGACAGCACAGCCTGGATAGCCACGTACATGGCCGGGGTGTTGAAGGTCTCAAACATGATCTGGAGAACAATGAGGTCTCAGTCAGCAAAAGAACCCTGAGCCACCCATGCCCAACACGCTTCATGCTGCATGCCACAAATGTGATGTGTGGAGAAAAGAACAGAACACAGGCAGAAACGCAAACTAGAAACCTGGAGGCTTCAGGGAGGAAATGCCAGAAGAGGAAGAGAACCCTGAAAATATCAAAGAAACACTTGAATGTCAGAAAATGAAGCGGAGCAGAAATATGACTTGTGAAACAGGAAGGAGATCCAGGCACACCCTACCTGAGTCATCTTCTCTCTGTTGGCTTTCGGGTTCAAGGGGGCCTCTGTCAGCAGCACTGGGTGCTCCTCGGGGGCCACACGCAGCTCGTTGTAGAAGGTGTGGTGCCAGATCTTCTCCATGTCATCCCAGTTGGTGACAATACCATGCTCGATGGGATACTTCAGGGTCAGGATGCCACGCTTGCTCTGGGCCTCATCGCCCACATAGGAATCCTTCTGGCCCATGCCCACCATCACACCCTGCAAGGAAAACCATCAGTCTCCGAACTCGACCCGCAAGTCGAGGGATCAGGCTAAATAGGAGATCTAGACTCACCTGGTGTCGGGGGCGGCCGACAATGGAGGGGAACACAGCCCGGGGAGCGTCGTCGCCGGCAAAGCCAGCTTTACACATGCCGGAGCCATTGTCAATGACGAGAGCGGCGATTTCTTCTTCCATTGCGATCTGCCCAGAAATGCAACTCACTCAAGGGGACCGCCGCAGCCCCACATCCAGAACACCCCTCCCACCTAAACGCAGTTTTTCCCTTAGGTCCCCAGGGCTGACCACTAACAACCGTCCGCAAACGGCGGTAGCCCAGTCCGAGCCGGGCCGTTCTGCGGGGGCGCGGGGACCCTGCATTGCGCCGGCCCCGCCCTACCCCCCCTCCCCCGCACGGCACTTAACCAGGCCTAACCTTTTTCCCGGGGACCGCGCGGCCTGGCCTCCAGGAAAGAAACTAGAGTTGGCGGGGACCAGGAGCCCGCTAATACGCGGAAAAGTAGGAGGCTTACCTGGGGTGGCTGGGAAGCGGAGCTACAAGAGAACAAGCAACGCGGGCCGGTGGCGGCGTCTGAGACCGAGCGCGGCCTCCCCCGCCGGTATTTAAGGGAAAGTAGGGCGCGCGCGCGAACGGTGGCGCGCGCGGCCCCAGAACATGTCCATATATGGCGATCTTTCCGAAAGCCAGGCGCCTATTGGCCCGCCCGCCCAGGACACGTGGGGGCCCAGCCCGGCCTGCCCCCCGCCCAATCCGCCGCCAACCGCCCCGCCCGCGCCGCCCTCGCGTGCCCGAGACCCTGCGCAGGCCTGGCTCGGCCTCTGGTGGTTCGGGCTGGCCTCGCACCGGCCGGCACCAGCCTGAAACTGCGCGCCTTGAGGAGGGCCCGGGGTGTTATTGCGCCCCAAGCTCTTGTGAGTCCCTGCTCCTCCCGCCCGGCTGGGAGCTTTGCACCCTGGCCACCTCCGCCAGCTCCTTCCCCGGCTCCTACGAGGCCAGGCGCTGATTGGGGGGCAGGGGACCTGTCCTGCAGCTCCTAGGCCCAGGGAGCAATCACGTCGACCTGTGCCCCCAAAAGGGGGCCGCCCATCACCCGGCGCGGGGAAGGGGGCGCACAAACGGCAGGCCGGGTTGTCCCTAGGTGCGAGGTCACCCCACCCCCTCATCCTAGAGGCGGCGGCGCCGAGGGGCTTTGTTTAATTCCAGTTACTTGTGGGCGGCCCAGGGAAACCGAGACAAGAAATCTTGACTTTCCGTTCGGAAAAAGCTTTGGCAAGGTCCCAGGCACCTGCCGCGCGGCCTGGATCCGCCTGGGGACGTAGGCTCGGTGGGATCCTCGCGGTGGTCCGCAAGCTAGGGTTGTGCAGGGAGGAGCAGCGGGGGGCGAGGGACTGGTCCAAGGTCACCGCGGTCCCCGGGCCGGAGGGTGGGCCTGGGCTCCCCGCTGCTCTGGGCATCTCGCCCTCAGGGCCAACTTGTCCCGTCACCTGCCGGGCTGCAAGGCCTCCCTGCGCCCCCAGCTGCCAGTCAAGTGCGTGCACCACCTCCGGGGGTATAATACGGGCTGGGCCTCTAGGAAGCCCACCTGACTCCCGTTTCTGGGCGGAACCCACGCTTGCCGGACACCAGGCGCGGGTGTCCACGGGGTGGGGGACACGATGTCGCACACAAAGGACACCGGGAAGGTGGCAGAAGCCGTGAGGTTGCTTCACCCCGCGTTCCCGGAAGTCCGGGCTGCGGACACCTGCCCCTCCGCGGACCGGGATTTCTCCGATGTCTTTGTCTGAGCGCGTGCAGGGGGCGGCCTCGGAGACCCCGGCCTCTGCCCACCTGCGGGGGTGCGAGGAACCGGGAGGGGGCGCGGCGGCCCAGGTGTGCGGGCGGGCGGGCGCGCCGGGCGGCCATATTTGGCCAAGTGGGCCAGCGCCCCGCCCGCTGCCGGAGGCCGGCGGGTGCCGTGAGTCACGGGGCGGACGTAACGGACGGGGCGCCCGGCCGCGCTCCTCGCCTTATTTAGTCAAGCAGGCCATCCATTGGCAGGCGGGACAAAGGGGCGGTGGCGGGGAACTTGGGCCAGGCAGCCCATCCGGCCCTGCGCGCGTCCGAGACCCTCAGCGGTGGCCTGCAGTTTGCGGCGCGGGGAGGGAGGCGCCATGTGTGCCTTTAGCCTTCTCTGTTGCCGCGGGGCAGTGCGAGGCCTCGCCAAAGGTCATGTCGGGGTCGTTCTAGATGGTGCCAGAGAAGCGGGTGGAACGGGGTTGCCCATCCCTTCTGGAGCAGGAGCCTGAGAGAGCCCTAGAGAGGGGACCCGTATATGTGGCAGCCCCTGGCGCCTGTGTGCTGGGAGGCCATGGGCAGCAAAAGTACTTGTGCCAGAAGTGGGTGTGTCCTCCCATTGTAAGGAGGAAGCCTGGACTCAGAAATGCTATGATGTTTTTCTAGTTCAGTGCTGGCTTTGGTGGCTTTTTGTTGTGACCTTCTGTGCCTCATTCTGTATTTCGCCCGTTTAACGGGTGGAAAATAGCTGAGCATGGTGGCACACGCTTAATCCCAACACTCGGGAGACAGAGGCAGGAGAATCTCCTTGAGTTTTACATATCAAGATCCTGACTCAAACATAAACCAAAAGGAAAAAAAAAAAAACCACACACACACACACACCAAAATCTAGTGTACAGAGCTGAGACTTGACCCGGGGTCTGGCTCACCCTGGGTCCTTCCCAGGTGTCGCTCTGCATTGACAGCTGGTCTTCCTCCCGTCTGCGCTTCCTGTCAAGCTGCTGACTTAATAAGAGAGACAACCACGGAACTTGGCAATGAATCCTCACCTCAGCTTTCTGCCTGTGTCATCTATCCATTCAGAAGCCCCTTTGCGTCTCCAACCCAACCCAAGTTGGGCTGGTGGAGCAGGAAAAGACATTGGGAGAACATGGAAAACTTAAGTGAAATCTAGTGTCAATAGTAAGTGCAAGATTATCATACTCTGGGCTGGGGAGATGGCTCAGTGGAATAAGCGCTTCCCTGGCAAGTGCAAGGCCTGAGTTCAATCCCCGGTTCCGCCAAAAAAAAAAAAAGATTATCGTACTCTCAGCTGTAAGAATCACACCACATGAGTCTGTGAGATGGAACAGTGGAACTACTGTTTTTGCAGCTTTCTTGTAAATCTAAAATCCCATAATGAATAATAATTTAAAACTCCAAGGAAACCAAAGTTTAGCTGCTCCCAGCTCACTTTCTAACACTCCCAGGATTTTGCAGAAAGGTCAAATGCACGGTCCTTTTAAGGCTCCAACCAGACCTGCCTCTCCCAGCCCCCAGCCTGCCCGCCAGCAGAGGCACTGCTTTGCAGGGAATTCAGCTGAGCGCCAGAGGCTGTTACTTAAGCAAAAGCACAGGATGTTGTGGAGATAAGATAGGACTAAGAATTGTGTGTGTCCTGGGGACATCTGGAAACACCCAGAAATTTACACTGGACACTTCAAGGACTTTGCCCACTGAGTTACAAGACTGCCAGAAAACTTTAACCACAGATTTTTTTTTTTTTTTAAATTAAATCTTCCTGCCTGCCTCTTTTCCATCCGTACAAAAGGGACACACTTTTTTTTTTTTTTTTTTTTTGGTCTGGTGGAACCGAGGATTGAACTCGGGCCCTATTATTCTACTGAGCTATCCCCCCGCCCCCTCAGGACATACTTTAAAAAAAAATCTTTTATTTGGTACAGGGTCTCACTACGCAGCTCAGACTCAGTGATCCTCCTGCCTAAGCCTCACCAGTTCCAGGATTACAGGTGTGCATCACCATACCCAATTTTGGTGGCTTGCTCCTCTGCATATGGTACCAGGGATTGAACCTGGGTCCTCAGGCACTTTGACCACCAAACTACCTTCCCAGCCCCAGGGACACACTTTTCTTTGCTCTGGGTAGATAGCTCTGTTCCTCTCTCCCTGCTTGCACCCAGGTATTAAACCATATGCCTAATTGCTATCACAAAACGTCATTCTGTGGTCCCTTGCCCATTTGTTAGAGTCCATTTTTGGTCTTTTCCAGTGTCCCAGGGCAGCTCGTGTAGGGGTCAAGACAGCACTGGAATGGGCTCTGTGGAACAGTGGTCCCAAGGGCCACTCTGGTGGATGAGGCCCACTTTCTCCAGCTGGGCCTCGCTATGTACTTTGGCATCAGAGGATGAAACCAGGGTCGGTCACTCCTGTCTCCTGTCTGGTTCTGCCACCACTGCCCGGACCAAAGCCTGATCTGTATGGCTGAGGCCTGAGTGGGTACTGCATGCCTGGTCAGTGATGGGAGTCAGATGAGGCTCTGCCTGTGTTGTCTAGATCTTACTATTGGGGATGGTGCCAGGGCTGTGCCTTTTAAAGGGGAAACAAAGGCAATCACCAGAGTCAAAGTAACAAACCAGAACCCAGGGTACATTATGTCCTTAGGCTGTAGGGGCTCCCTACACAGTGTTTGGGGAGTTGCGTGTTGGCCAACACCCGCCTGCACTGCTCCAGAATTCAGTGGGGATGTAGACCTACTGAAGTTTACCCAAGGTTCCTGATTCCCCACAGTCAGGCAGAGAGAACAAGAAGGTATTGGAAGAACATTCAGCCAGGAGTTGGAGAACCTAGGCTCCAGCATGGGTCCAGCCTTGCGCTTGCTGTATGGCCTTTTATATCCCATTTTCTGTTTAAAGGGGGGGGGATTAGGTGAGGTGGGTTCATGCCCACCTCAAGGCCCTGTAATAGCTTACTTCCAGTTCAGCCACATCCCAGTCATTGTTGCACTCCCCAGACTGCATCTAAGTGTCTTCCTGGACCCAGGTTCAATCCCCAGTACCACATGCCATGCCAGCCCTGGAAGCAGTCATGCTGAGCTAGCCTGGACCAGGAGTGGTGGCACACACCTGCAATCCTAGCACTGGGGAGTCTGAGACAGGAGGATCACTACAAAGCTGAGCTGTGTAGTGAGACTCTGTACCAAATAAAATATTTTTTTAATTTAAAAAAATTAAGTGGCTGGAAATGTAGCCCAATATAAAGCTCCTAGGCTCATTCTCTAGTACAGTAATTTTATTTTTTTATTATTTATTTAGTGTGTGTGTGTGTGTGTGTGTGGCCAGCTCAGCCCACCAGGGGGCGGGGCTGGCTGGCATGTGGTGCTGGGGATTGAACTGGTCCCTCTGCTTTGCTAAGCTTGTTCTAAGTAGGTGCTTTAGACCACTGAGCCATCTCACCAGCCCAGTAATTTTATTTTTTAAGTTTTTTGTGGCACCAAGGATTGAACTGAAGACCTTGCTTTGCCAGGCAGGCACTTAAGCTGCTGAGTTGTATCTGTGGCCAGTATTTAAAAAAAAAAAAAGAAAAGTGAGAATGAGCAATTACAAGAGGATATGGGTTCCTCAGGGGGCTCTGAAGCCAGTGGTGGGCCAGCCAGATAGTTCAGCAGATTAAAGTGGATCAAAGCACCTGCTTAGGGAAACTCAAAGCCCGTATACTGTGCTGACTCTGTCCCTGGGACACACTGGGAAGTGATTGAGACTGGGTGTGGTGGCAGTGTTTGGGAGGCTGAAAACAGGAGGATCACTACAAGTCTGA